ACACACACACAAACACATAGACACACACACACACATACACACACACAGGAGGATTTTAATTTCCCACGGGATTGCAACTTGTTTCAAACCAACCACTACTCACACATTCTTGTTGCGCCCAAGGATAAAACCCCCGTGGTGTCATCTACCACATCCCCTGCCAGGGCAAAAACAACAAGGGGCCCAGGTAAGCCAGGTCTGCTGAGGAAGACCAGAGTGACTGGTGAGAGAATTTTTTGTGTTGGACCAAAAGTTTCAACTTTAAACACATACAGAGTACTGTACAAGTATCATTAGTACAGTGAGATGCGGTCCGTCTAACCTTGGATACTCCATCTGCGAAGTTCTTGTAGTAAGAGTCGTCCGTCTCCATCCTGTCCCAGGCTTCCTTGTAGACGTTCCCAGTGTCGTCTGAAGAAGAGACAGAGAGCAAACGATAACCGACGATCTGGTACGGTATGGTAGGTAGAAATGTTACTGAAGCTCTGAGTTCGCATCGCCCCAAATTCTAGTTTGTAGAAAAGTACGTAAGGCCACACCAATTTAATTTCTTGGTTAACGGATTTTTCCAGAAAAATAATGGAGCGGGCGGGCGAAAAAAATAAAAATAAAACAGGCCTAGGCATCCTATTATGGCCCAAAATGGTACGATAGGAGCCATGAAGTCAACACACCAGGCTGGTTCAAAATTTAAACAATGAATTTTGAACTTTTAATGATACCATTGCATTGAAAGATGGAATAACTGTAACAAGTAGGATGAAAAGGACTGTTTTCAACTGTTCAGGGCAAAATATGAGCATTTTGCAGTTGATTCTGAATTTTTATTTTTATTTGCAAATCAAAAAAAAAATGAAGAGGCGAATCCGTTAACCAAGAAATTAAATTGGTGTGGCCGAATGATATGAATTGCAAAGTTCTTTGATCACAGCTATTTATCTTTACGAGTCGACGTTTCGATGACCATCTGTCATCTTCATTAGGGCAATTCTGACTGGTTTGCTGTGCACTGACGCTAGATGTTACTTGGTGCATAGTGCACTAAAGGTGTTATATGGTTCACAGTGCACCAAGTAACATCTAGCGTCAGTGCACGGCAAACCAGTCAGAATTGCCCTGATGAAGATGACAGCCGGTCATCGAAACGTCGGCTTGTAAAAAAATAAATGTTTGTGACCAAAGAACTTTGCTATTCATTCGTTTACAACCCTGATGAAATTATTTACGGATACGATATGATTTTGGAAACGGTCAGACGTTTCAGCTAGCATTCACTAGCTTTCGTCAGTGACTGTGAGACCAGGGAATATTACCTGGATGTCTAACCTTCATTGACGTACATTATGATATGTTATCAGATTTAATTCGTACCTTTGTAGGACTCGAAGAAACTGTAGAGGAACGTGTCTCTGGGCACGCCGAACCTGGTCTTGGTGTGGTGGACCAGGGAGTAATGATATACTAACATGAAAGTTCATCTGTGTTGGTAGTTAAATGTTTAGAGTTAAAACTTTTGGTCCAACACAAAAAAGTTCTCTCACTTAGAGCTTTCACCCAGTCACTCTGGTCTTTCTCAGTAGACTGACCCATTGAAGCTTGTCACGTTGTCAACACTGGGACAGAGGTATCTGGTCGAAAGCTCTAGGTGAGAGAACTTTTTTTGTGTTAGACCAAAATTTTTAACTCTAAAACATACGTAATGATATGTTGTCAGATTTAATCCGTACCTTTGTAGGACTCGAAGAAACTGTAGAGGAACGTGTCTCTGGGCACGCCGAACCTGGTCTTGGTGTGGTGGACCAGGGAGTCCAGGGAGTTGATGGGGCTCTCCAGTCTCTTCACCGTGAGGAAGGCAGACAGGTTGGCGGTGTAGGTGGACACCACGATCAGGGCGAACAGCCACAGACCTGCCGCCAGGATACGGGCTGGGATAGACCGGGGAGCAGGCTCTCCTCCTACGAGAAAAGTATGTCATGAGGTCCTCTTCCTCTTCCATGGTTTAGAGTTCAAACTTTTGAGCCAACACAAAGGAAGTTCTCCCACCTAGAGCTTTCGACCAGTCACTCTGGTCTTCCTCAGTAGACTGACCCAGTGTGCCGTGGCGTTTTTGAAGTGTGATGCGACAGGGGCCGACATCATCACCAGATACCATTGACGAGAGTTGACGCCACACTTGAAAGAAGCCACGTGACAAGTCTCACTGGGTCAGCCTACTGAGGAAGACCAGAGTGACTATTCAAAAGCTCTAGGTGAATGCAACGATAGTCAAAAACCGCGGATGCTTTCCAAGTATTGTGCAAATTATTAATGACCGCAGTTGATTGAATTTGTATACATTCCACCGTGGTATTTTGTCCCGGTAAAGTACGCGAAGCTGTGGGGATGCGATTTTAGGAACAGTAGTTGACGCCATGATGCTTACCTTTCCTTAACACGGACCAGACCGCGAACCATATACTGTTGTATCCGGTGAAGGCAGAGTCATTGTCGAACGACTTGTCACCGGCACCTGCCATGGTCCTGCCGGGGTAGAGTATTCCTCAGTATTCTCATCAACGTACTTGGTCAGATTACTTACTTAGTCTGATTACTTACAAGGGTTAACACGACATAGTCTTAGAATAGACAACATACCAAGTGCGGTCATGTGTACAAGTTGTTCTGTTCGTTGTTGAGTACTACCAGTTGTAATTTTGATACATGTTCAGGCTATGATGTCGTGAAGTCTTACGTGTTTGACATGTCAACAACACGCAAAATGAGTAAATTAATTCCTCAAACCTGTTTTTTTCCTTTTTTTCCATTCCAACATTTATCACAATACATGGCGACACTAAACTTTTTCCAACTTATTTTATGCCACCAGCAACGCAGACAAACGCACGGCCAACAGACATACTCATTTTTTCAAACAAAGCTAGGTACTCATTTCCACCTGAGTGCCTTTTCCAAGGGCACACGACCAGCGGCATGGCTGCAATTACACAACGCGACCTCACACCAACCTGGCTTTCGCGGTGAGGAACAGCAGCAGCGCGATCCCGAGCACAGCGCCCAGGATCGTGAGCCACAGGAACGGCTCAAACGGCATGAGGAAGGAGAAAATGTCCACATCTTCACTCGGTGTCTTCATCATCATGTCTGTGCCCACGTGCAGGTAAGGCTTGGTGAAGTCCACTATCTTCTCTCTCAGCGAACTGATGGTCAGCGGTGCGAGGGTCAGGTTAGCTCGCTGTAGTCATGGAAAAGAACAATTTAAACAACTACTTAACTTTACTACTAAAATAAAAAACACATACACGTATTAAAGAAAAAGTCTTCCATCGCCTAAAAAGAAGACGTCAAACCCAGAAAAACTAGTACCATGTATGTTGTAGAATATTGTATAATGTATTTTCTTTCATCATATATGTTGTTTGTAACTGCAATTAGCCCTCGGGCATGTATTTGCAATAAACTTTTCAATTTGAATCATGAGTTTGTCATCAGTTATGATTATTGTTACTTCGTCTTTCTGGGCGTCTTGATTTTGTCTACACATCTGGTGTATAAATCTTTATTTAGTATCATTGGGATCGGGTATTTGCTGGTCTTTTAAAGTTTATTTTCATGGGTTGCACTTGTTATGTGCAAGTTACGTGCATTATAGAATTACCACATCTTCTTAATGAAGCTTGCAGCAATATGAGACCATCCAAACACCAAGGAAGGCAGTTGAGGAGTTACCGAATCTTTGACAGGTAAATATCTTAGAGATTTCGTTATCAATAAACTATATATTATCATACTATCACATATCATCACTATTTACTTCTGAACTCGCCAGCTGAGTTTGAATTTACCTTATAATTTTGTCAATTCTCCATGTACCAATTGTATAAGTTTTGTTATTCATAACTTATTTGACTATGTCATGTTATATGGATTCCGTGAGGAATAGTATGAATGAAAAAAAAAAACAATGGGCCCTAATGGAAACCCCAATAAAACAAACACCTACTTTTATGTAGCTGCTTTGATATTGTATTATATTGTATCATATATTTTTGCATTGTATTTGTATGTTTTTTATGTAAATATTGTTAATATGTTTATCTGTGTATCTGTGGGGGAGACAACGTGAAGACGTGATCACCACTCTTGTCTCCCCCTCTATCTTGTTATGGAGAAGTTTAATAAAGAAACAAACAAACAAACAAACTCACCCCATACGCCACCTCCCCCACCATCCCATTCCACACGCCCCTGTGGTCAGGAGCTCCATATTTGCCGTCAGGAGATTCGTAGATCTCATACTCGAACTTGAGGATCCTGGCCAGGCTGCTCAACACGTCCTTCAGATAACCTTCGTACACCAGCCCGCTAGTTTTGTTCGTCCGTACCAGGAATGGATGGGCCTGGAAGAGATTTCAAGATAAGCATAAAAGTTCATCTCTGTTGGTTGTTACATGTTTAGAGTTAAAACCTTTGATCCAACGCAAAGAAGTTCTTTCACTGGCTAGCAAGTCTCTACCAGACTAACTACGCTGGCTATAAATAGGAGAATATTTGCCGGAGGAGTTTGGCCGCCTTGTAGGTTTGACTGGGCCGCGCTTCGGAGGGAAAAAAAATACCTCCCCGCGGCCGGACTCCCTTGGCCCATTAATTCTCTTTTTTTTGTTGTTGCCGAATTCCACTATCCGTATTTCCGTAGAAAGGCCTGGTGGAGGCTAGACTAGAGCTTCCGACCAGTGCACTCTGGTTTTCCTCAGTAGACTTCCTGACCCAGTGAGACTTGTCAGGTAGCTTTCTATGGCTGTGATAAGTTGATTGGATGCCTTAAAATCATATCAGGCTCTACAGATATTGTACAATGAGCTATAGAACAGGATGGTCTTGCAATACTAACGCTGGTCATGAGTCTATTAAAGAGTATATTTTGTAACGCCCAAGTGTTTGACCGTAGGTTGTACCATAGTTTTTCCACATATATTCTTCCCCTATGATTTGTTCACCACGTACCGGTGTCTTTGTTACAGCTCGCAAAACCTGTCCTTGGACGAACTTGATGTTGTCGTCCTCTGTAAAAAAATAATACTTTATATTCAATATCTAGAATGAAAACATTATCAAAAAATATGTAGAATTGGTGGATTGTTCATTCCTTGACAAAGACTGGAGTTGTACAGTGGAAAATGTGAATGAGTCCATTTTCTTGTGTTGAAAATTACAGTTTAAACTTGCTGCATAATTATTTCTACCAACACAAATGAACTTTCAAGATAAAACATGTAGAATGTTTACTTAGTACTTGAAATTTAAAGGCGAACTCAGAACAAGACGAGGCACTATTTTTACTAGGTTCAACCAAATGGAATTAAATAGGTGGGAGGATTGGCTTCACTGATTTTGCTGGTAATTGTGATAGCTGAATGCTTTGAATGCAACAGTCCCAAACAATGCTGTGGGTGGTTTTGATGTCCTTGAACAGTAACTTCAGGCCTCGAAATTAACTTTTCTTCCTATTGTCCCAGCACTGTCCCAAAAATAAATTTCTATTTTCCCAAAGTGAGACTGAACGGTCCCAACCTGTTTTCTGGGAAGTATGGCATATCTTCAATATTGTATGACTTCAACTTGAAGTCGACTTTATTTTGCTTACTTTCTTACTCCCAACTGCAGGCGTACTATAATTGCAGAGTACACGGAAGCCAAAAGCTGAGACGTGTGCCTGTTAAACAAAAGAAGGGCTGACATTTTGATGCTGATTATTTTTTCTATTGTCCAAAAATGTCCCAAAGTGTCTTTTTAGTTGTCCTAGCCTAAATTTTAGTCGTCAGTGGTCATTGGGACACTGTAAAATTCTCGCCCTGTTACTTATTGATATCAGAGCTCACCGTAATCGATGGTCGCATCGCCGTCTGTGTCGATTGATGTGACAGAGTGACCTTCAACAAAAGAAATATTAATTATTCACGTGTATCATGGCTTATGGTAGCCAAATGTTAATAATAGTTATTACAGGGTCCCCAGGGGAGAGTTGGCAGGTCTTTATGTACAGTCCCTGTCCGGATATGGCCTCCCAAACTCTACCATGGTTAGGAATACATGTAGGACGCGAGAAAGGCCTGCTGTGGTTCGCTCGCGTTCGGCGAAGTCGGCTGAGTCCACAATTTTTTGTTTTTTAATATTCCAACATTTCATGACTAGACCTGGTGACAGCACACTCAAGTTATATCAACTTGTTTTATGCCGCGACAAACGGCAGGAGACGAATACAGGAAAGACAATACTCATTTCCACTTGAGTTAAGTGAGGAAAGTCGTGTAAAGTGCCTTTCTCAAGGGCACAAGATTGGTGGCATGTCAGGACTCGAATCCGGATCTTGGTTCCGAGTCGAGCACTCTGCCGATACGCCACACGGCCCCACAGAATGTTTCAAAATGACTAAAACTTTCAGGTGTGGACAGGAGGTTCATTCATGGTTGGCGGGTGTTCGGTAGTAGGCCAGCAGTGTTCGGGCGTGTTCAGATTTGATTAGACTGCTCCCAACATTGGTTGCCTGGTGGTCGCTGAAAGGTTCTGAATGTGTGACAGCAACTGAAATATCATTAAAGGGCCTCTATTTCCTATAGTAGGTAAAGGAGGTACGGTAACCATGCGTAGTGTGTGTTAGGATTTTCAGAATCACACACACAACAGACAGAAAGACACGCTTCTGCGTGTGTGTGTTAGAAAAGCAAAGACCACTTTCGTTATTTGATAAGTACAAATTATGTTTTTGTACAGAAAATACAAAAAACTCACCTCCTAACTCACTTGACCTGCTAATTCGTATCGGCAGCCTCGTTGATGCTGTAAGAAAATTTCCAGTCTTTGAGATTGTTTTCCCTGGTACAAACTTAAACTTATATATACAGTAAATTATTTTGTCAATACATCTGTTGCGTTATACTTGTATATAAATGTAATATGCATTCTTAAATTCAAATTTTACTCTTGATTGACACATAAATTGTTATTACAACTGTCATTTCTATTGCCTAGCAATATACTGGTATGCCATCACAAACTTTAACAGACAAGAGGAGAGTGTTCATACAGGAATTACCCAGATGACAAACATGATTTCTCTGCAGCAAAGAGTGCTAAAAGAGTGTTAAAAAAAATCAAGAATGATATTCAAGACCACTCACTTGGCAATGATGATGCTTGTCCTGCAATAAGAACAAGGGTGAGGCACACGAGGATAACTGGAGTCATTGTGAAAACTTAAGAAGAAGAAAACAATCATACATTAGTACAATTTCCCCAATAATACCAAAAATACAATGATATACAATGTTGTTTATAGAAACCCCTTGATGATTAGACTCCGTACTTACCTTGCTGCAGATCATGTATTGAAAACTTTGAACATCAACACCTAGTCAGATATACATAGGCGGATGTCATAGGGAGGATGACACGGACAAGGTATTCCTTGTCACATTTAAACAAGGTGTTCCGAAGTCTATGAAAGCACTTCTCACAGTACATCTAAGCTTCGTGTGCTACAAATGTAAAGAAAATGGATTAGGGCTAAGGCGGTATTAGTACGTTAATATTCATGCGGGAGTTCAATTCTGTCACGCTACGGTTCCTTGGAGAATAGGAATGTGACATCACCAAAATACCTAAGTGCTACTTAAATATTAAATTAGTGCTAATGTTCTTCAAAGACAACCATTCTGCCTAAAGAAAATCCTTCAATCAAAGAAGGTGGTAACGGCGAGTTTTGTATTAATGTTTTGTGTCCTACCCTTAGATGAAGTTCAGCCTTGTCACTCGTGTACCACTGTGGCGTTAACATAGGGTATACTGGGTGTATACTACTCCCATAAATATTTCGATCAGGTTGGAAATTGCATGTATCTATGATTTTTAACCCAGAATGCGTAGCAGGATAACTAACGAAACGACATCAGGTTGTTAATGGTTGTGTACAAGGTTACCATAATCACCAAAGTTGTCAGGTGTCAGGAACAACAATGCCCCGCAGTATGATTGGAGTAATGTGGCCTTCACAAAATTGCCCTTCTTTGAATACTACGACTTCATATGAGCTCAGCATTTTACATTTATCATATTCATTTCGCATGCAGCATTTTAACAATAACAATAATCTAACAATAATCTTTACCATACATGCTTTTACGAACAAACAAACAAATAAACAGAGAAGAGCAAAATACACGGAATAAAATTCCCATACCTTGAGCCTTTTACGATTGTAATCTTCTCTCTTCACTGCTCATCTTGCTTCTGTAATCTGCAATGTGGGTGCCAAGGCCAAGAAAGTTGCGTGTACTTTAATGCAATAAAGCTTTCAACTCCTCGGACGAGCCGCTAAACATTTTATTCACTTTGCATGTCAAAGAGCTGCTTACTGCCAATTGGTGAATATCTCAGAACTTTATAGATCCACAAAGCTACAAATCTGTCAAATCATGAAAGTAGCAGTCTTTCATCTGACTCTCAAGGAATAAATTAGATTAGAAATTGGGGTCGATATTTACCTTGATCTTAGAGCTTATGAATCTTGGGCCATCTGGTGCCATTGTTAGTTTTGCCAAAGAAGTTGATTATTCGAAGAAAAGTTGATTATGTTGATCATCTCATGAAAAAATAATGTGTTATATCTCACTTTCCAATGCAATGATTGTGTTATATCTCACTTTCCAAGATAATGTATAAATTTTCATATTGATGAGACAGATAGTCTAGTATACCTACTTGGTACCACGGAGATACATTGTATTTGATCATGGTATATGAAAGGGTATGCCCTGTTGACATAAATGCTTTGTCTTTGTCAAGACCACAGATTTAGATGATACTCTAAATGGAATTGACAGGGCACCATTTCATAGCCTAGATATATTTTGAATTTTATGCAGCCGGTAATTGTAAAAGATTATGATTTTACCACATGTATCGCTCTTTGTCATATATAGGAATCATTGCACATGGCAATGCTCACATAGGAAAATTTTAAATCTATCTGTTGTGCAATTCAACTCAGTTTCAGTATATATCTTTACCGAAAGATTACATTTAGGTCATTTGGCTTGTTTTTCAGGTGGTTCTATGACAATAAAAATACACAGTCAATACGAGAAGTAATGCACAACAATAACAATACGGTATGACGAGTACAATGAGTTTTTAAAGGCTGTTAAAGTTGTGAAATTTCTTTGGTGAGATGATTCCACAACATTGGACCCTGGTACTGCAGGCTCCCTTTGTACGCTTTAATGTTTGCCTAAACGAAAGTTTGTAGCCCAACTCCAAGATCAAGGTTGTCAGTATGAGTTTAGACGAAGAAGACATTTTAACCAAGCAAGATAAGACAATTTGTTCCTATACATGTCATTTGAGGACAGCCGTGCACGTCAGTAAGTAGCCTTGATACGATATTCTGTGCCCATAACATCATTACAATGGATTCTTATCGGTAAGCACTTCGCTGGGGACGTGACCAGATCTGCAAGTGTGGCAAATTCTTCCCCTGAGTGTCCAAATTACCACTTGAACTTGATCATAACCGGAAGAATGAGATTTTATAATTTCCCTGTTGGATTGTTCTTTGGGTTAAGTTTCTGGAAAATATGTTTTGTGTCGATATGGCAGGTGTTAGTATGAAGGGATTATTCAACAGATTATGGCCAGTTGCAGGCCTAGGAAAAAACGTGTTTCCAGTTTCCCGACCGACCCTAGAAAAAAATGCCGATCCTAGCCAATTTGGAGGTGGACACCTCCAAAGGACAAAAAAGTTTCGAGCTGATCCAACATTACTAACTCCATGATCTGAAAACTGGGTGATGAAACGTTGTACAGTAGGTTTTCCAACATTGACATTGACAATGAAAGTGTCCTCATGCAAGTTTTAATTTGATAAACTGTCTTATATAAGTTGGATCAGTAGAGATGTCCAAAGTCTAATAAAAAAGAAAGAAAAGAGAAAAAAGAAAACCCCTACCTACCAACCCTATTTTTTAGGACTGAGACAGGAAACACAACATTTTTCCTATATATGCCTAACATCTGTGTGATGAATAAAGAAGTCTAAAGATCCTGGGTACTTGGTGTTTTACACACAAGCAGTAAAAATAAATTACTGGCATGTGCTGGTATTTCCAAAACCTTTCCTTTGGGAAATAATGCAGTCTTTATTGGACAATAATGACTGGTTATACAGTGATAACTGCGCAATTATGACTGGTGCAACAGTCATTACTGTGCAATAATGGCTGATTCTAAGTGTTTTGAGTAAATGTGTGTCAACCATGTCTAAAACATTTGTGATATTTAATTTTGCGTTTCACCACAACCAGTCGCAACTGATGTGCAAAAGCCATTGCCTTCTAAAATCAACAACAATAGTTTCACACCCAGTAAACATTCACCACCTTGATATTAATGTTGTCCCTTATGGAACTAGACAAACGTTGTATTATATGCTCCATATGTTTATATGTTCCATCTACAGCTGCCTAAGAAGTTAAACCTGTATATAGTAGTTTACATCAATCTGTATAGTAAGATATCACATTCTAATATCACTGTAATCTTTATCATTACAACGTACATCAGTGGTAAAAACATACACATACAATAAATGTAAACAGTTCTTATAGATATGCAAGCAACCCAGTACATAAGAAAGTAAGAAAGAAAATAATGTCCAGACATCTTACCTTTTGGAGTGCAAGCTGTGCACATGCACATACAGGATGATGACCTTGCGTGATACCACAGAATGTTCCTCTGAAGACACTATCTGATACCAGGGGAATGGGACAGTCTTTATCTCCCCCTAACCCATTACACACCGGGCGTTGCCATAACACTGACAATTACCTTTTGAACTGTGTAAGTGGATTGGCAAATTGCAACTGGGGTGTGTGTGAGCAAGGAAGATCATTATGTTTATTGGTAAACACCATTGCTCTCTGTTTATACTGTTTTTTATGGCAAAGAATATAGGACGTTGAGTTACATTTTTAGGAGGAAGCACTAATACTAAAAAAAAGGGACTGAATAATATTTTGGAAACGGTCAGACGTTTCAGGTAGCATCCACTACCTTTCGTCAGTGAGACTGGGGTGTTGTACAAAAATCAGGTTATAAGCACGAACTATTGATTGATATGTGAATACAAATATTTCTAAAGGATGCACAAAAGAACTGTTTAAGTATTAAGGTTAGTGAATACTTAACCTTAATAGGTCAAAAATGAAATGAGACTGGACAATTACATACAAATTATATAGCTTGTTTGTAATTATATCGATTACTTGCAGCTTGAATATAAAGTCGTAGTAGCCAGTTGAGTTTCAAAAGAGCACTCAAGCAGAGTTGTTTACATTCTTATTCGTATCCGAATATTGTTGTGTGGTAAGTCAGCCTGGTATGAAAGATTTATGCCTAAACCATACTGTGAACGGCCGCTTCCAAGTCACTGATTGTCTGATAAATAATGCATGTGCTAAGTGCAATTTGTTTCTACAATGGTTAATGGATACTGTAAGAGGTTTCAATACCTTCGGCACCAAGAAGGACGTAATGTTATTTAAGGGCACGGAGGCTTGGCAACACACTTTTCCGTCTTTTGCAATTTGCTAGACTAACGAATTTGTGCGATGCCTTTAAAAGATAAAGGGAGGCCAGGGTTCTTGGAATGCGGAATTGAGCAACTGTAAATACTGTTGAATAATGAGGTGAAGCGAACGTAAGTGGCTCCCTTTGATATGCCGAAGGATGAGAGTGTATTGTGTAGATATGGCATACATGTTTATGCTTGAATGGTTACAAAAGCATTGTATGGAGAAAATGTGTCTTTCTGGTGATTTCAAAGACAACACACGGTATGAACATTTGATGGTGTAACTCAATACTGTCAGTCTTGCATTCCGTCTTTTAAAACCACTGTTTACGGAAACCAGACCATAAAACTTAAACATTATTCCAGAACTACCTCCCTACCTAGCAAAGCTAGCCTTTTAACCTAGCTGCCTGCAAACATCACGAATATCAGTGAACGTTGCGAAGAAAGAGTCTTGTTTCTAATTTGTATTTTCTGACTCAAGGGTAGATGTTGTTTTACGTTGCACCCTCCAGACTGCACACTGTAGCTTCAACTGCAATCGCTTGGGGGCGTAGCTAAGTAGTCAAGTTTAACTCAACTAGGACTGTGTACTATGTACGGTATAGCATGGAAGTACTTCTTT